GGCCCGGCCGCCTGTAAGTTCCCACTATTCCGGGAGGCTTGAGGGCCCGGAGGAAATGGCGTGGAACCACCCGGAGGCTCGGAGCCCCTTAGCCAGTGAGCTGAGATCCGGCCAACTGCTACTCCAAGGCCCTGCGGCGACAAAGAGCCCCCCGAAGACCTTCGTCTCAAAAAAAAAAAAAAAAAAAAAGTCACCGCCATTCTCCAGTCTCGATTAACCTGGGACACAATGTACTGCGGAAAGCACAAGAAAGCCTGGGCATTGTCCAAAGTTTCCCCCGCTGAGACAGCCTGAGACATGGCCTCATGGGAATGGAAAGACCTTACATCCCCCAGCCCGACACCTGTAAAGGGTCTGTGCTGAGAAGGAGGAGTGAAAGAGGGAGGCCTCTTTGCAGTTGAGATAAGAAGAAGGCTTCTGTCCCTGGGAATGGAATGTCTCAGTGTAAAGCAGACCATTCCCATTCATTCTATTCTGAGAAAGGAGAAAAGCATGGCTGGAGGCAAGATATGCTGGCAGAAATACTGCTCTGTTACTCTTTGCTACATTGAGATGTTTGTGTAAAGTGAAACATAAACCTAGCATACCTGTACATCCAGGCAAACTACCTTTCCTTGAACTTATTCATGATACAGATTCCTTTGCTCACATGTTTCCCTGATGACCTTCTCCCTAAATGTTGCCCTGCTACACTCCCCTCACTAAGATAGTAAAAATAATGGTCAATAAATACTGAGGGAACTCAGAGACCGGTGCCAGGGCAGGTCCTCACATGCTGAGTGTGCCGGTCCCCTGGGCCCACTGTTCTTTCTCTATACTTTGTTTCTGTGTCTTATTTCTTTATTTCTTTACTCAATCTCTTGTCCCACCTGACGAGAAATACCCACAGGTGTGAAGGGGCAGGCCCCCTTCAGAAAGATGTCCATTCAGGGATATCAGGACTTAAACTTTTCTTTTCTCACAGAATTCTCCCACTTGCAGAGTTTCCCCACACACTATTGGAAGGTGGAGCTTCCACTCTGCCCATCTGAGCTCTTACCTGCCTTTACGCCTGTAATACATTCCCTCCCAGCTGGATTTTGTTGCTATTTGCACTTCACTCTCCACAGTCCAGGGCTCTTTCCCTTGCTCCAACATGGAGACAGCAGGTCAGAAAGAGACTCCTGCTTATAAAAAAAAAAAGGAAGGTGACATGCTGGAGCTTTTCTAGAGTCCCAGCCCTATGTTTCAATAGGAAATAAGACATTGCAGATGGATCTAAGAAAATATTTCACAAATTCCTCCACTGACTGCCTCCTTCTGAATGCTTGGGGAACGTTGTAATATGTAATATGTGGACGTCGAGCTCTCTTCCAAGAACTACTGAATTGAAAGCACAGGAGAAGCAAACCGGGAACTGGATATCTTTAATGCCGGCCATAAGGTTTTGTTTTTGTCTTTTGAAACACAGTCGTGCTCTGTCATCCAGGCTGGAGTGCAGTGGTGTGTTCTCGGCTCACTGCAACCTTGGCCTCCTGGGTTCAGGTGATTCTCTTTCCTCAGCCTTTCTAGGAGCTGGGATTACAGGTGTGCACCACAACGTCTGGCTAATTTTTGTATTTTTAGTAGAGATTGGGTTTCTCCAAGTTGGTCAGGCTGGTCTCAAACTCCTCACCCTTAGTGATCCACATGCCTCAGCCTCCCAAGGTGCTGGGATGACAGGTGTGAGCCACCACGACCAGGCTGTGATAAGGTTTTATGCCTACTTTACTTCTGGAAGCCCCACTGAGGTATCATGAAGAAAGCAGAACATCTAAACAAAGGGGACAGTGAAAGTCCAGATGCTACATCATGAGGCTTTTCATTTCAAAATCAATATCGCTTCCATTTCAGTCAAGGAACGATGGGGCTCCCAAGAGGCAACAAGAGAAAATGCAAAGACACACAAGGGCACATCCCCAGCAGGGAAGTTATCCTCACCCAGGGAGACCAGGTTCCTATAATTCTCCAGCATCACGTCTCTGTATAGAGTCCTCTGAGCAGGGTCCAGGCATTTCCACTCCTCCTGAGAGAATTCTATGGCCACGTCCCTGAATGTCAATAGACCCTGAAATGAAAACACATTTTAAGCAAATGGCTATGGGAGGAGTTCTTACCTTTACAGAAAATGAGAAGAAGAGAGAGAGGAAAGCGTGGATTTAATTGTAGAGAATGTTCTGACAAATCCGAGTGAGGGATTTCTCACCACATGACGTCTCCCCAGATGTGTTTTATTACACTTTTTGAGTATAATCAAGACACACTTTCAGTATAAATTTCTTATGTTTGTGAAAAATACAAGAAATAAATAAAAAATCAATGTTGGGTTCCTGTTATAAAAATGTTTGGAACTTTTATTGACACACCAGGTGACATTCATTATCTAGATGAGAGAGAGCACAACTGATGTCTTTTTTTTTTTTTTTTTGGGACAGAGTCTCACTCTGTCGCCCAGACTGGAGTGCAGTGGCACCATCTCGGCTCACTGCAAGCTCCGCCTCCCGGGTTCACACCATTCTCCTGCCTCAGCCTCCCGAGTAGCTGGGACTACAGGCGCCCGCCACCAGGCCTGGCTAATTTTTTGTATTTTTAGTAGAGACAGGGTTTCACCATGTTGGCCAGGATGGTCTCGATCTCCTGACCTCGTGATCTGCCTGCCTCGGCCTCCCAAAGTGCTGGGATTACAGGCGTGAGCTACCACGCCCGGCCTGACTGATGTCTTAAAAGATGACAATGTCCACAGTAAAAGATAGGCTGGGCATAGTGACACATGCCTGTAATCCCAGCTACGCAGGAGGCTGAGGCAGGAGAATTGCTTGATCCGGGGGGGCAGAGGTTACAATGATCTCAGATCGCGTCACTGCACTCCAGCCCAGGGGGGGGGAACTCCATCTCAAAAAAATAAAATTAAAAAAAAAAAAATTAGCTGGGGGGGGGGGGAGGCACCTGTGGTCCCAGCTACTTGGAAGGCTAAGGAGGGAGGGTGGGGGGGCCCTGAGGGTGGAGGTTGCAGTGAGCTATGGTCCCGCCAGGGCACTCGGGGGGGGGCAACAAAGCGAGACCCCATCTCAAAATAAAATAAAGTACGTGAAAGGGGGGGTACTCAAAGTACAAAAATCAATCGTGTATATATATGTTCATATAAAAGGGGGGGGCCTACAGAGATTCACAAAAAACTAGATGTTAATACAAAAGGTTATCATTTGTCCCAGATTTTCAAAATATAAAAGATTTTTGAAATATATGCATATGTGTGGGGGGGTGTATTTGTATGTATATGTGTGTGCATGTTTGTGGGAATGTGTATGTGGGGGGGTAAAGTTTTTAAAAATATGAAAAGTAGCAAGTTTTGTTTAACTGAAGGGGGGGGTCATCTTGCTGGAAAAGGACACTTTGGCAGCTGCGGGCAGGGGGAATGGGGGGGGATCTAAGAAAACAGGAAATGCCCCATCCTAGAGGAAGCAATCACCCGGGGGGGTGCCTGACCTGAGGAATGTTCAGGTATGTGTAGGAACGCAGGCGTGCGGGGGGGCAGCCACTACGGCACTCTTTACACACGGAAAAATCGCAAAGGACCCACATGTTGTCATTCAGTCCATTTTCCAACGCAGATGGCAAAGAGCAAGCTAGCCAGGGGGGGTAACATGACAACAGAGAAATTCACAACCAGCAGGATCAAATATCAAAGTAAAATATTTACTAAAACACAAAGAAGAAAACAACAGACACTGGGGTCTACTTGAGGGTAGAGACCGGGAGGAAGGTAAGGAGCAGAAAAAATAACTATTATGGGCCAGGCGCGGTGGCTCCCACCTGTAATCCCAGCACTTTAAGAGGTTGAGGCAGGTGAATAACGAGGTCAGGAGTTCAAGACCAGCCTGGCCAAGATAATGAAACCCCTTCTCTAATAAAAATACAAAAAATGGCCAGACATGGTGTTGGCTGTCTATAATCTCAGCTACTCAAGAGGCTGAGGCAGGAAAGTGCTTGAACCCAGGAGGCAGAAGTTGCAGTGAGCTGAGATCACGCCACTTCACTGCAGCCTAAACGACAGAGTGAGACTCTGTCTCAAAAAAAAAAAAAAGAAAAAGGAAAGAACTTTTTTTAAGTTACTACAGAATTTTTTCTAAAGCCTCATAACGATGCACAAATACGTCTGTATGAGACTTGCTCTGACACCTGGCACAGAACTGACAGTAGCGGCTCCCCAGTGAGGCTGGAAGGAGGGTGGAGGACGTGACAGGGAACGGAGATGCCCTATGGCCAAGGGTCTAAGCTGCAGCTTTGCTTGGAGTTTTACCACAAAACAAATATATAGATCATGTGATGTTTAAATATATAACAATATATATTTAACAATAATTGGTGGGACTGGGCATGGTGGCTCGTGTCTGTAATCCCAGCATGCTGTGAGGCTGAAGTAGGCAGATCACCTGAGGTCAGGAATTCAAGACCAGCATGGCCAAAATGGTGAAACACCGCCTCTTCTAAAAATACGAAAAAATTAGCCGCGGGGGATGGCACGTGACTATAATCCCAGCTACTTGAAAGGCTAAAACAGGAGAATCACTGGAACTTGGGAGGCAGAGGTTGCAGTGATCTGAAATTGCACTACTGCACTCCAGCCTGGGCAATCGAGAATTTGTCTCAAAAAGAAAAAAAAAAAAAAAAGCTGGATGAGGTGGCTCACGCCTGTAATTTCAACACTTTGGGAGACTGAGGTGGGCAGATCACGAGGTTATGAAATGGAAACCATCCTGGCTAAAAAGGTGAAACCCCATCGCTACTGAAAATAAAAAATTATCCAGGCATGGTGGCACTCGCCTGTAGTCCCAGCTACTCGGGAGTCTGAGGCAGGAGAATCACTTGAACCAGGAGGGCAGAGGTTGCAGTGAGCCGACATCACACCACTGCACTCCAGCCTGGGCTGCAGAGCAAGATTCTGCTCAAAAAATTAAAATTAAAATTAACCAGGCATGGGGGCACCTGCAGTCCCAGCCACCTGAGAGGCAGAGGTTGAGGGATGGCTTGAGCCTGAGGGTGGAGGTTGCAGTGAGCTAAGATCATGCCACTGCACTCCAGCCTGGGCTGCAGAGCAAGATTCTGCTCAAAAAATTAAAATTAAAATTAACCAGGCATGGGGGCACCTGCAGTCCCAGCCACCTGAGAGGCAGAGGTTGAGGGATGGCTTGAGCCTGAGGGTGGAGGTTGCAGTGAGCTAAGATCATGCCACTGCACTCCAGCCTGGGCTGCAGAGCAAGATTCTGCTCAAAAAATTAAAATTAAAATTAACCAGGCATGGGGGCACCTGCAGTCCCAGCCACCTGAGAGGCAGAGGTTGAGGGATGGCTTGAGCCTGAGGGTGGAGGTTGCAGTGAGCTAAGATCATGCCACTGCACTCCAGCCTGGGCTGCAGAGCAAGATTCTGCTCAAAAAATTAAAATTAAAATTAACCAGGCATGGGGGCACCTGCAGTCCCAGCCACCTGAGAGGCAGAGGTTGAGGGATGGCTTGAGCCTGAGGGTGGAGGTTGCAGTGAGCTAAGATCATGCCACTGCACTCCAGCCTGGGCTGCAGAGCAAGATTCTGCTCAAAAAATTAAAATTAAAATTAACCAGGCATGGGGGCACCTGCAGTCCCAGCCACCTGAGAGGCAGAGGTTGAGGGATGGCTTGAGCCTGAGGGTGGAGGTTGCAGTGAGCTAAGATCATGCCACTGCACTCCAGCCTGGGCTGCAGAGCAAGATTCTGCTCAAAAAATTAAAATTAAAATTAACCAGGCATGGGGGCACCTGCAGTCCCAGCCACCTGAGAGGCAGAGGTTGAGGGATGGCTTGAGCCTGAGGGTGGAGGTTGCAGTGAGCTAAGATCATGCCACTGCACTCCAGCCTGGGCTGCAGAGCAAGATTCTGCTCAAAAAATTAAAATTAAAATTAACCAGGCATGGGGGCACCTGCAGTCCCAGCCACCTGAGAGGCAGAGGTTGAGGGATGGCTTGAGCCTGAGGGTGGAGGTTGCAGTGAGCTAAGATCATGCCACTGCACTCCAGCCTGGGCTGCAGAGCAAGATTCTGCTCAAAAAATTAAAATTAAAATTAACCAGGCATGGGGGCACCTGCAGTCCCAGCCACCTGAGAGGCAGAGGTTGAGGGATGGCTTGAGCCTGAGGGTGGAGGTTGCAGTGAGCTAAGATCATGCCACTGCACTCCAGCCTGGGCTGCAGAGCAAGATTCTGCTCAAAAAATTAAAATTAAAATTAACCAGGCATGGGGGCACCTGCAGTCCCAGCCACCTGAGAGGCAGAGGTTGAGGGATGGCTTGAGCCTGAGGGTGGAGGTTGCAGTGAGCTAAGATCATGCCACTGCACTCCAGCCTGGGCTGCAGAGCAAGATTCTGCTCAAAAAATTAAAATTAAAATTAACCAGGCATGGGGGCACCTGCAGTCCCAGCCACCTGAGAGGCAGAGGTTGAGGGATGGCTTGAGCCTGAGGGTGGAGGTTGCAGTGAGCTAAGATCATGCCACTGCACTCCAGCCTGGGCTGCAGAGCAAGATTCTGCTCAAAAAATTAAAATTAAAATTAACCAGGCATGGGGGCACCTGCAGTCCCAGCCACCTGAGAGGCAGAGGTTGAGGGATGGCTTGAGCCTGAGGGTGGAGGTTGCAGTGAGCTAAGATCATGCCACTGCACTCCAGCCTGGGCTGCAGAGCAAGATTCTGCTCAAAAAATTAAAATTAAAATTAACCAGGCATGGGGGCACCTGCAGTCCCAGCCACCTGAGAGGCAGAGGTTGAGGGATGGCTTGAGCCTGAGGGTGGAGGTTGCAGTGAGCTAAGATCATGCCACTGCACTCCAGCCTGGGCTGCAGAGCAAGATTCTGCTCAAAAAATTAAAATTAAAATTAACCAGGCATGGGGGCACCTGCAGTCCCAGCCACCTGAGAGGCAGAGGTTGAGGGATGGCTTGAGCCTGAGGGTGGAGGTTGCAGTGAGCTAAGATCATGCCACTGCACTCCAGCCTGGGCTGCAGAGCAAGATTCTGCTCAAAAAATTAAAATTAAAATTAACCAGG